AAAAAAATTAAGGTTCTAATTTAAAGTCTGAAAGTGTGGGCAATCCCATTAATCTCAAAATTCCCATGCAATCTAAAAAAGATATTAGACAAATAAGATTTTCTGCCGAGTTACATACTTTTAAAAGCTAAACTCCTGAACATCCTTTAAGAATATAGATATAATTTTGAAAGTAGTTAGGATCCAATAATAAGAGTTAGTACATATGTTTAAAATCATAGCCAAAAGAAAAACAAAAAGCCAAAACAAAATGAAAAACAGTTTGCAAACTTATCCAAGGTCCCCTAATTCTACTGCCTCCATGAATTCTTCAGATATATTAATATATTAATTGAAAAAACGACGTTTTGGTATAAGACTCATGATTTTGGAAATAGTTATATAATTTCTTCTGGAGATGCGGTTATATTTTGTTTTATCAATTCATTAAAATCTGTGAAAAGTACTGGCAGTGTTATGGACTGAACTATTTCCCCCTAAAATTCATATGTTAAAGCCATAATCCCCAATGTGACTGTATTTGGAAATAGGGCATTTAAAGTAGTAACTGGAATTAAATGAAGTCATCAGGATGGGGCCCTAGTCTGATAGAGCCCCTTATAAGAAAAAGAAGAGACACAAGAGATCTCTTTCTCTGTCCATATGCACAGAGAGCAAAGACCATATGAGAGCACAGTAAAACGGTGACCACCTAGAAGCCAGGAAGAGAAGCCTCACTTCTATAGAAGTGAGAGCCTGATCCTGATGTCACCTTGATCTTGAACTTCTAGTTTCCAGAACTGTGAGAAAATAAATTTCTGTTGTTAAAGCCACGCACTCTGCGGTATTTTGCTATGACTGCCCTAGCAAACGAATACAGGCAGTATTATGGATGACATTTAAAATATTTACCGAAGGTTTGCTTTATTTATGCCTACAAAATAAAACGTATGGTATGTGGTGGGCTTTTTCTTCCCTTTCAACTTCAATTAAAACAAATGCACTCTTCAGATGAAATACATTCTTCAGAATATATTTAGACAACAGAAAAAACTCTAAATTTGCTTACACATTATGACTGTACATGCTCACCTGCTAAATATAATGCCTTCACCTGAGGAGCCTGTAGTGCTTCATAGAAGATTATAACAGATCCTAGCTGACCCTCCAGAGAAGTGGGACACCCCCATTCACTGTCCTGGGTTCCAGCTGATATCAATTTGGTAATTAATTTTGATTTTTCAGTTGTTCCTCCCCAGGAAGCTGATGACAGAATTCCACCAAATGATGTCCGATGAGGGGTAACAGGAGAAGAGAAAGGTGGATCTGGGATCTGGGATGGTGGAGGAGTGGTGGTTCTTTGCCCAGCTGAACCAATGCAACAGGAAGTAAAGGGCTAAAATACAAAAAAAATTACACAATTTTAATTAAAAGATATCCTCATATTATAATAAAATAGTAGATAAAATTACACAAATATATAAATTGAAAATAAAAATAGAAGCAGTTTTACTTTTACTAAATATGATGTATACTTGCATGTTTATACTTAGAAAATTATTAGCAAAATTACCTTGGCCTATAGAATTTGCATGCACTACTTTTATTATTTATTTATTGATTCAGACAAGGTCTTGCTCTGTTGCCAGGCTGGAGTGCAGTGGCATGATCTTGGCTCACTGCAACCTCAACCTCCTGGGTTCAAGTAGTTCTCCTGCCTCAGCCTCCTGAGTAGCTGGGATTACAGGTGCGTGCCACCATGCCTGGGTAATTTTTGTATTTTTAATAGAGAGGGGGTTTCATCGTATTGGCCAGATGGGCTCGATCTCTTGACCTTGTGATGGGCCCACCTCAGCTTCCCAAAGTGCTGAGATTACAGGTGTCAGCCACTGCGCCCAGCCTGGATGCATTACTTTTATGACTCACTTTATATTCTTTTGTAAATTTTGAATTTTTAAAGAGTGTATTTAAGATTTTTTTTTAACTTTACTGTTTTTGAAAATAGAGAAAACTGTATTTTTTCTCTTTAAAATGTATAAATGTTAATTATAAACTATCTTGAAATGGTCACTGAGATGAAAGCCAACAAGAAATTACTTGAATCCTAAGACTTGAGAAATAAACTACTCTATTCCACTATCTTCAGAAAAGGCCCTCTAGTGTTCTTTAAGAACCACTTCACTATATGAACTCTATTTGATAACTGACTAAAATGTGGATGTTTTAAGCTTCTTCATTATTGTTTCAATTTTTTTTTTTTTTTTTTTTTTTTTTTCGGACTCTCACTGTGTCTCCCAGGCTGGAGTGCAGTGGCATGATCTCAGCTCACTGCAACCTCCACCTGCTGGGTTCAAGCAATTCCCTGCCTCAGCCTCCTGAGTAACTGGGATTACAGGCGGATGCTACCATGCCTGGCTAATATTTCTATTTTTAGCACAGACGGGGTTTCAACATGTTGGCCAGGCTGGTCTTGAACTCCTGACCTCATAATACACCTGCCATGGCCTCCCAAAGTGCTGGGATTATAGGCATGAGCTAATACGCCTGGCCTACTGTTTCAATTTTCAATTTTAATGAAGTTAGAAGAGTCCATCATAATATTTAAGTATTTCACATAGTTAAATAACTTTTATTAAAAGATACATTAGGCCGCTCTATTCATTCCGTTGGCTTTCCTGTCATAAGTCTTTCTTTCTAAGCCTTTGTTTCTTCCTTAAATGTTTTCCTTTTTTCACATTGTCTGACTTCATCTAATAATGACAGGCTGACAGAATTGAATATTAATGTGCAGAGTCTTAGCACATAGAAAACACTTTAAAATCTGGGGGCACATATTTATAATAAACATAACCTTTTACATTAACTGGAACATTTCAAGAATTCTCAATCAAAGCAGCCGGGAATGAGCGGGTATGATATGCTTACTTCATTCATGGCAGGAAATCTGAGAGGGGCAGAAACCTTCTGTTGTCCATTGTCATAGATATAGACGAAGCTCTGACCAAAGGGCCTTTTTCCAGGCATGTGGACAATGGTTATGTTGTGCTGGTAAAGTGAAGCACACATTTAAAAGGTTAAAATTACATTATGTGTTTGGAATGACAAATGGTTTCAGAATATTGCTCTATAATTTGAACAAATGGTAGAACATTAAGATTAAGCACAGTTAAATGTTAATTAAACTGACGTTCTCAAAGTGAGTAACAATTTTTTCCATAGCAGTACAAAAGCATGTAAGCCTATAAAATATCCACAACTGTAACAGTACCTTTTCTGCATTTCCAAAGCTTAAGTATTCCTTAGAATCATTTTTTAAAATGAGAAGCAGTTTTTATTTTAGAAAGACAATACAAATGTATTGTTTAAAACAACCTAATGGCTGGGTGAAGTGACTCATGCCTGTAATCCCAGCACTCTGGAAGGCCAAGGTGGGTGGATCACCTGAGGTCGGGAGTTCGAGACCAGCCTGGCCAAAAGGATGTAACCTCATCTCTACTAAAAAAATACACAAATTAGTCAGGCGTGGTGGCAAGTGCCTGTAATCCTAACTACTCAGAAGGCTGAGGCAGGAGAACTGCTTGAACCCGGGAGACAGAGGTTGCAACGAACCAAGATGGCATCACTGGACTCCAGCCTGGGCGACACAGCGAGACTCTGTCCCAAAAGAAAAAAGCAAAAAAAGCACGAAACAACCTACCATCGCATTTTATTTTATTATTGTTTTTAAAAACCTTTTTTAGAGATTGCCTTATGCTCTATAGCTGAGGCTCAAGTGCAGTGGCACAATCACAGCTCACTGCAGCCTTGAACTCCTCGGCTCAAGCAATCTTGCCCCAGCCTCCTGAGTAGGTAGGATTATAGATGTGTGCCACCTCACCCAACTAATTTTTAAATTTTTTGTAGAGATAGAGTCTCACTTCTTGCCCAAGCTGGGCTTAAACTCCTGGCTTCAAGCAGTCCTCCCACCTTGGCCTCCCCAAGTGCTGGATTTATGGGTGTGAGTTACAGCACCCAGCCCATCTCATTTTAAATTGAAATTCAAAATTAAATTTACTTAAAGAAAACCTTAAGACATCCTAACATTACATACACACACACACACACACACATACACACACACACAATTATTATTTTTGAGACATGGTCTCACTCTGCTGCCGAGGCCGGAGTACAGTGGTGCCATCTGAGCTTACTGGAGCCTTGACTTCCTGGCCTCAAGTGATTCTCCCAACTCAGTCTCCTGAGTAGCTGGGACCACAGGCACAAATCACCATACCCAGCTAATTTTTTTATTTTTTGGTAGATACGGGGTTTCACCATGTTGCCCAGAATGGTCTCAAACTCTTGAGCTAAGTAATCTGCTGGCCTTGGCATCCTAAAGTATTGGGATTACTTACAGGTATGCCACCAAGCCCAGCCTCATTTAAATTTTTTAGCAAAAAAAAAAAAAAAAAAGACTGCTGCTGAATTTATGACAATGATGGGAAATACCATCAACCATACTAAAAGTTAAATGTGATATCCTAAAGCCTTACCCAGAGGGAATCACAGAAACTGTGGTCAGGAAGCATAACTGTTGCATATTCTCTTTTTGTGCACACCGCCACGACCAACATACCTGAATGGGTAATAAAGGCTTCAAAACCTATGCCACTTCCTGTAAAAAAACTAACAAAAATATGTATTATCAGAACTTTTAAAGTTAGTTATTCACTTTCATTATTACTAAAGTACCTAAAACCATAAAGCCATTATAAATGTCTTTATCAACAATTCTGTGGCTTAAATTCTATTGCCACACACTAGTCCAAACTTGTTTCAAAGACGCTTTTAAAATCCATTTTGGGCATAAGGGTTTAGTAAATAAAAGGCAGCCTTGTAAGTAGAATTCCACTAGAAATAATAAAACTATCAATTTTCAAATCTTTAAAATTTTTCCAAGTAAGATTCAGTAAGTATAAATAAAGGTCTTGAAAATCACAAAGCATAGGCCAGGCACGGTTGCTCATGTCTGTAATCCTAGCACTTTGGGAGGCCAAGGCAGGCAGATCACCTGAGGTCAGGAGTTTGGGGAGACCAGCCTGGCCAATGTGGTGAAACCTTGTCTCTACTAAAAATACAAAAATTAGCCGGGTGTGGTGGCAGGCATCCATAATCCCAGCAACTCAGGAGGCTGAGGCAGGAGAATCACTTGAACCCAGGAGGCGGAGGTTACAGTGAGCCGAGATCCCGCCACTGCATTCCAGCTTGGGCGACAAGAGCAAAACTCCGACTCAAAAAAATAAATCAGAAGGCATATTAAAAAGTAGTAGCTATCAAAGTCTGGAAACACATACACACAGGTTTTCTGTTCCTTCATATAAATATATGGCATATTTATATGTTCCATATATTTATAGCATTTTCAATGGAACAGAAATCATTACTCATTTTCTTTTTTTTCTTTCTTTTTTTTTTTGAGGCAGAATCTCACTCTATTGCCCAGGCTGGAGTGCAGTGGCGTGATCTTGGCTCACTGCAAACTCCACCTCCCAGGTTCAAGTGATTCTCGTGCCTCAGTGATTTCTGTGCCTCAGCCTCCCAAGTAGCTGGGACTATAGGCATGCCCAGCTAATTTCTGTATTTTTAGTAGAGACGGTGTTTCTCCATATTGAGTAGGCTGGTCTGAATTCCTGACCTTAAGTGATCTGCCTGCCTCAGCCATTTAAAATGCTAGGATTACAGATATAAGTCACCACACCTGGCCATTATTCATTTTCACAGTGTTTTTTTTCTGTGTGTGTGACAGAGTCTTTCTTTGTCACCCAGGTTGAAGTACAGTAGTAATCATAGGTCACTGCAGCTTCAACTTCCCAAGCTCTAGTGATCCTCTCATTCCAGCCTTCCAAGTAGCTGGAACTACAGGTATGTGTCACTATACCCAGCTAATGTTTATATTTTTTTGTAGAGATAAGGTTTTGCCATATTGCCTAGGCTGGTCTTGAACTCCTGGCCTCAAGCAATGCACCTGCCTCAACCTCCTCAAGTGGTGAGATTACAAGCGTGCCATCACATCTGGCCCATTTTCAATATTATTATTCTTTCCATTCACTTTTACACTACTTTTAAGAAGGAAACTTGTTTCCAAACTAGCCTCAAAACTTAACCAGCAATATTTGAGATATATAGTTATTACTATGAAAGCAATAAAGCACTTACAATTGAGCTGTATAAAGCCTAAGGATGAAGAGGTTTTAAATAAATTATACATCTAAAACCTAGATGCTTGGAAACAGTTTTCCTGTTTAAGAATCACAGCATATGTTGTTATGACAATATTCATTTCTATTCCATAATTTTTACCAGTACCTGTATAATTGTTTCCGTTTCCCTCCTTTGTTAGCAATGCCAAGAGTCAATTGATCCTGATCTAAGCAAAACCAAGCACTGAAAGAAAAGGCAGACCCCGGCCATTTCTGTATGGGAGGCACAGAAATTCCTGCCATACTATGTGACAAATTGAAATACTGTAGGGCACTCTCTAGACTTAGTTTTCGGGCCATTGTCAGCATTGCTCGAGTCACAGGAGTGGTATAAGGGTGAACAGACTCAGATTCATCCACTCTCAGCAATCTTAGTAGTCGACGGATTTCTTCCGAGCTCACTGACTGACTCCCCAAGGAACCATGGATTGCAATCAAGTTCTCAGCACAAGTTTGATGGAGGGAAGAATGGGAGTCAAGTGATTCAATAATTCTAATGCCCATGTTTGCATTGACACAAGTAGTTCGACTCTGCCTATTAATACAACAAATTCTTTTCAGCCAATCAGAGATGAAGATTTGTAGGTCATGGGATTGTAATTCTGGAAGCCACTGGATAAGAAGCAAGAGAGGTTGGACATTACTAATGCCCAAAATCCCAACTGAAGTGTGGTCACCCTCTACAGCCTAGAAAGCAACATAAAAGATAAAAGGTTAGTTATCGTTTTCAAAACAGTTATTAACAGAACTCTTAATAAAGGTTAAAAACTCACCATATTCATGAGTTCTTTAAGTAATTCCTGTGGTGGCTGGCCCAGGGATTTTAATACTTCAAACATATGTGTATAACCAATTCTTTCTTTAAATACTTCCTAGGGGGTGGGAAAACAATATATCAAAGTGCATTTTCAAAGACTGAATATGTTGGAATATTAAAAAATACTCATTTAAGCTGATTAACTTAATATTATATAAAAAGATTATGAATTCACTATTTGTCTTCTTAAATTACATCTTCATGATTCCATATAGCTTCTGGAGTAATAAAGTTACAATTATATAACATAATACAAAATAAATAAAATTAACAATAGCTGTTATAAAATTATTATATTATTTGCAGATAAGGGCATATGACACTTCTTGTATTTTATTCATTTGATCTGCAATTACTAGAATAGTAGTTAATTCAAAATAAAAATAGAGAAAAAAATGAGGAAGCTGTAGGTAAGAGGAGTCAGGTATCAGCCTAAAAAGATTCAGTGTTCCTGGCAGTTTTGAATAGTGGTCAGAAAGAAATTGAGTGCAAAGAGTTTTATCTCTGCTATTTGTATCTAAATGGTCTGAATTATCAAGTTCCTTTTAGAAAGTTCTATGTCATATGTATTTTTGAACCAGTAGGCACCCAAAATCATAAAGTGAAATATAAAGACAACTGGAAAACTTAGAACATATTAAATTGCCCCACTAAATTAGGTAGAAATATATACACTCACTACAAAACCAAGAAATTTAACAAAACAAGTAAAACTTGTTACCTCTAGGGAGGAAAATGGTTGAATGTGGGTCAAGAATAGGAAGGAAATCTTTTTTCAATATGTATTTTTGTTATATAACCTTTTTAATTTTAAAAATGCCAGATATTACATGGACCAAAAAAAAATCTTTCATGGAAGACTGGAACATCTTTTTTGATGTTTGAATTTCAGCATACAGTACTGGCAATCGATTATACTCATAAACCAGTTATTTAGGACTTAAAATGGTTTCCATCTTACAGCAACTAGTATTAAATGGAGATTAAGTCACAAGCCAGACTGTAAAAGCCTATTCAATAGGTAAAAGCCTATTCAATAGGAACCTAACCATGAGTTACATCAATGTTTCTAGGGCAAAAGTTAGAGTCTCCTAACACAAACCAATGTAATCTAAGAAATACAATGGAAGGCATGTTTCAGAAAATAGGGAATAATTAATTCACATTTGGTACCAGAAAGATAAGGCATGAAGTATATTAGATATGACAGATAAGAGTGTAAAGTAATAATAGTAGTTACTGACACGTATTTAGCACTTATCATGTACCTGGCACTATGCTTACCATTTCACACAGATGACCCTCACTAATCTTATCGGTATATGAGGAAACCACCAGTGTAACTAGAGAGAAGAACAGGCAGTGGCAGTGAATGAGAAGAGACAGAAATTCTAAGGGTTACTGAATACAAGAAGTAGAATTTCCATGGCCATACAACCTGGAAAAACTAATATCAAATTGATAGGCTATTCAAATGTGAAAAATGTTCATATTTTAGGCAGTCATAAACTGACTAAATAAAGGGTCATTATTTTATTAAGTAAGAAAAGCTCTGATATAAAACTTAATTATTTAAACTCATTAACCATAGAACCACTTAAAATTATCATTTCAACATCAGTGCTCTCATTCCATTCTTTGCCAACATTGTAAATCCTAACAGTTTGCAGTTCAATCATTAATACCTTTTAAAATCCTAAAGCAGGGCCTATAGGGCTTCGTCTTTAAAATTATCACAAGTATAAGCAAGCTGTAAGTAACTTCATTCTTATACTAAGATATTTTGTGAATGATTTTATTTCAAGTGTTAAGCCGCATGTATTGTATACTTTCATACATCACTTCAGAATTTATATAGTGAAAATTGACACATCTAATTAAATATTTTAAAACCTGGCGATAAATCAGGCTAATAGCAGACCTTTCAACAGAACCCCTATAAGCCAGAAGAAACTGGGAGCATACAGTCAGCATTCTCAAAGAAAAGAGGCTGGGCACAGTGGCTCCCACCTGTGACCCCAGACTTTGGTAGGTTGAAGGGGGTGGATCATGAGGTTAGGAGTTCAAGACCAGCCTGGCCAACATGGTGAAACCCCGGCTATATTAAAAATACAAAAATTAGTCGGGTGTGGTGGCAAGCACCTGTAATTCCAGCTGGTTGGGAGGCTGAGGCAAAAGAATTGCTTGAACCTAGGAGGCGGAGGTTGCAGTGAGCCGGGATTGTGCCACTGCACTCCAGTCTGAACAACAGAGCAAGACTCCATCTTAAAAAACAAAAAAATAAATTCCAAAGAGTTGCATATACAACCAAATTAAGCTTCATAAGTGAAGGAGGACTAAGTCTTTTTCATAGAAGCAAATGCTAAAAGAATTCATTACTACCAGACCCACCTTACAAGATGTCCTGAAGGGAGTGATAAATATGGAAAGGAAAGACCATTACCAGCCACTACCAAAACACACTTAAATACATAGACCAGGGACACTATAAGGTAACCACACACAAAAGTGAACAAGTCTGCATAATAACCAGCTAACAACATGGTAATAAGATCAAATCTGCACAGATTAATACTAACCTTAAATGTATATGGGCTAAATTCCACAATTAACAGGCACAGAGTGGCAAGCTGGATAAAGAAGCAAGACCCAATGGTATGCTGTCTTCAAGAGATTCATCTCACATGCAATGACACCCATAGGCTTAAAGTAAAGGAATGGAGAAAAATCTGCCAAGCAAATGAAAAGCAGAAAAAAGCAGGTTCCTATTCTTATTTCAGATAAAATAGACTTTAAACCAACAAAGATCAAAAAGACGAAGAAAGGCATTAAATAATGGTAAAGGGCTCAATTTAACAAGACCTAACTATCTTAAATATACATATACACTCAACACAGAAGCACCTAGATTCATAAAGCAAGTTCTTAGAGACCTACTAAGAGATTTAGATAACTACACAATAATAGTGAGAGACTTCAACACCCCACTTAATAGTATACTTAGACAGATCATTGAGGCAGAAAACTAATGAAGATATTCAGGACCTGAACTTAACACTTGACCAAATGGACCTAGTAGACATCTACAGAACACTTTACAACAAAACAACAGAATATGTATTCTTCACATCTGCACATGGCACACACTCTAAAACTGACAACACAATCAGGCATAAAATAGTCCTAAGCAAATTTCAAAAAACCGAAACCATATCAACCACACTCTTGAACCACAGTGCAATAAAAACAGAAATTAAGACTAAGAAAATCACCCAAAACCATACAATTACATGAAAATTAAACTGTCTACTCCTGAATGACTCTTGGGAAAACAATGAAATTAGAGCAGAAATAAAGAAATGTTTGAAACTAATGAGAACAAAGATACAACATACCAGAATCTCTGGGACATAAGCTAAAGCAGTGTTAAGAGGGAATTTTATAGCACTAAATGCCTGCATCAAAAAGTTAGAAAGATTGCAAATCAACAACCTAACATCACAACTAGAGAACTAGAGAAACAAGAGCAAACCAATCTCAAAGCTGGCAGAAGACAAGAACTAACCAAAACAGCACTGAACTGAAGGAAACTGAGATGTCAAAAACCATACAAAAGACAGGCCAGGCATGGTGGCTCACACCTGTAATCCCAGCACTTTGGGAGGGTGAGGTGGGTGGATCACTTAAGGTCAAGAGTTCAACATCCCTTCATATTAAAAACCCTCAACAAAGTAGGCATTGAAGGAACATACTTCAAAATAATAAGAGCCATCTATGACAAACCCACAACCAACATCATACTGAATGGGCAAAAGCTGGAAGCATTCCCCTTGAAAGCCAGAATAAGACAGGGATACCCTCTCCCACCACTCCTATTCAACACAGTACTAGAAGTCACAGCCAGAGCAATTAGGCATGAAAAAGAAAGAAAATGCTTCTAAGTAGGAAGAGAGTAAGTCAAACTCTCCCTGTTTTTAGACAGTATGATTCTACACCTATAAAAGCCCATAGTCTCTATGTAAAGCTCCTTGATCTGATAAACTACTTGAGCAAAGTTACAGGATACAAAATCGATGTATGAAAATCAGAGGATTCCAAACAGCAACAATATCCAAGCTAAGAGCCAAATCAAGAACGCAATCCCATTCACAATTGCCACAAAAAGAATAAAATACCTAGGTATATGGCTAACTAGTGAGGTGAAAGGTCTCTATGACAAGAATTACAAAACAGTGCTCAAAGAAATCAGAAATGATACCAACAAATGGAAAAATGTTCCATGTTCATGAATAGAAAGAATCAATATTGTTAAAATGACCATACTGCCTGGGTGAGTGTGCAGCTCACACCTGTAATCCTAGCATTTTGGGAGGCTGAGATCGGCAGGAGTCTCAGTCAGGAGTCCAAGACCAGTGTGGCCAACGTTGTGAAACCCTGTCCTACTGAAAACACAAAAAAATTAGCTGGGAGTAGTGGTGCACACCTGTAATCCCAGCTACTCGAGAGGCTGAGACAGTAGAATCACTTGAACCTGAGAGATGGGGGTTACAGTGAGCCAGGATTGTGCCACTGCACTCTAGCCTAGGTGACAGAGCAAGTCTCCATCTCAAAAAAAAAAACAAAAAAAAAACTGACCATACTGCTCAAGGCAATTTGGAGATTCAGTGCTATTCCTATCAAAATACCAATGGCATTCTTCACAGACCTAGAAAAAAATATTTTAACAGGCATATGGAACCAAAAAAGAGCCTGAATAGCCAAGGCAATTTTAAACAAAAAGAACAAAGCTGGAGGCATTACCTTGAAGTCACATGACCTGACTTCACACTATACCACGAGGCTACAGTAACCAAAACAAGATAGTACTGGTACAGAAACAGACACACACACAGACCAGTAGAAGAGAATAGAGAGCCCCCCAAAATTGCTGCACACCTACAGCTAATCAATCTTCAAAAAAGATGACAAAAACAAGCAATGGGAAAGGCTCCTATTCAATAAATGGTGCTGGGATAACTAGCTAGCAATATGCAGAAGATTGAAAGTGGACCCCTTTCTTACAATACGCAAAAATCAACTCAAGATGGATTAAAGACTTAAATGTAAAAACTATAAAAAACCTGCAAGATAACCTAGGAAATACTATTATGGACATAGGACCTGGCAAAGATTTCATGATGAAGCCATCAAAAGTAACTTCAACAAAAACAAAAATTGACAATAGGACCAAATTAAAATAAAGACCTTATGCACAGCAAAAGAAAGTATCAACAGAGTAAACAGACAACCTACAGAACAGGAGAAAATATTTGCAAACTATGCATCCAACAAAGGTCTAATATCCAGAATCTATAAGGCACTTAGACAAATCAACAAGTAAAAGCAAATAACCCCATTAAAAAGTGGGCAAAGGACAAGAACAGACACAAAAGAAAACAAGGCTGGGCGTGGTGGCTCATGCCTGTAATCCCAGCACTTTAGGAGGTTGAGGAGGATGGATTACCTGAGATTGGGAGTTTGAGACCAGCCTGGCCAACATGGTGAAACCCCCTCTCTACTAAAAATAAAAAAAGTAGCCAGGCTGTGGTGGCACACACCTGTAATCCCAGCTACTCAGGAGGATGAGGCAAAAGAATCGCTTGAACCCAGGAGGGGGAGGTTGTAGTGAGCCAAGTACTCCAGCTTGGGCGAGAGAGGAAAGAAAGGGGAGAAATGAGAGAAAAGGGAGAAGGGGGGGAGGAGAGAAAGAGAGAGGGGGAGAGAGGGAAAGAGGGAAAGGGGAGAGAGGAGAGAGAGAGGAGAGAAGAGAGAGCATACAAGCAAACATACACAGCCAATAAGCATATGAAAAAATGCTCAACATCACTAGAGAAATGCAAATCACACCACAATTACATGCCATCTGACACCCCTCAGAAGGGCTATTATTAAAAAGTCAAAAAATAACAGATGTTGGCAAGGCTGTGAAGAAAAGGGAACACTTATAACTGCTGAAGGGATATACCTTAGCTCAGCCATTGTGGAAAGCAGTCTGGCAATTTCTCGAAGAACTCAAAGCAGAATCACCATTTACCCAATCCTATTATTGGGTAAATACACAAAGGAATATAAATTGTTCTACCATAAAGACACATGCACATATATGTTCATCGCAGTACTATTCACAATAGTGAAGACATGGAATCAATCTAAATGCCCATCAACAGGAGACTGGATAAAGAAAATGTGGTACATATACACCATGGAATACTATACAACCATAAAAACAAATGAGCTCATATCCTCATATCCTTTGCAACAACGTGGATGGAGCTGGAGGCCATTATTCTAGGCAAACTAGCAAAGGAATAGAAAACCAAATACCATATGTTTTTACATGTAAGTGGGAGCTAAACACTGAGTTCATATGGACACAAAGAAAGGGACAATAGACATCACGGCCTACTTGAAGGTGGATGGAAGGAGGAGGGTAAAGACTAAAAACCTACCTACTGGGTACTACGCTTATTACCTGGGTGGCAAAATAATCTGTATACCAAATCCCTATGATATGCAATTTACCTATATAACAAACCTGCACATGTACCCCTGAACCTAAAATAAAAGTTAAGAAAAGAAAAAGCTAGAGGATATATATTTCACCTTAGCGGCTGGAGATTTGTTCATTACTGCTGTCAAAGCCTGAATGGTTGATATGGCCAAACAATCCAATTGTCCCTGAAACACCTATTGCGGGGAAGGGGAAAACAAGAAATTAACAAATATGTTCACGATTTTTATTCAGTTAGGAAACCTTTGTTCTGAAAACCTGAAAAAATAATTACTTAACATGTATTACATTCCTCTTCCATGAAATGAATTTCTGAAACACCATAACCTGCAAGAAAAGTTACCCACTTAAAAGAAAAATAAGGCACATGTCAAGAAGGATAAGGCAACATTCACTTATTACATTAAAATGTTTTAAGAAAAAAAAAAAAAACAAGCTTAACACATGCTTTTTAAAAATAATGGACAATCTCAAGAGGAAGGGAGGGAGGTCTATCATTGGAAATCCTACTACATTTTAATTTCCCTTCAAAAATACACTTGAACTATCCAGATTTAAATTCCATTTCCATGTATAAGATAGCTATAATAATCTTGTTCATCTAGTTTCCAAACCCTGTGTTAAAATTAGGATGGCATGCACATACACCAATTAATTATACTTATAAGCAATTAAGTATATCTATTTTTATATAAAATGGAAAATTTGAGGCAGACACAGAAAATGAAATATGTATCTCTAAGTATTGTCATGTTTTTGAGAAGGCAGCTTTTAATGGTAAAAGTTGTATGAAAAAATAAAAATTAGCTTCATTTTGTCTATTACTGTTTAAGCTTCAGGGCAGTGTATTCATAGCAAAAACAAAAACTAACATCAAGAATATTAAAAAACTGAACATGACTGTTACATCAGGCTTAGACAATCATGAAAGCATAGACTCAGGACTAGAAGGCTGTAAAAACAAACAGTCCCAAAAATCTGCTTTCAAGAATATATTACTATGGGCCAGGTACAGTGGCTCACACCTATAATTCCAGCACTTTGGGAAGCCAAAGGAGATGGATCACATGAGCCCAGAAGTTCGACACCAGCCTAGGCAACATGGCAAAACTTCATCTCTACTAAAAATACAAAAAATTAGCCAGGGTTGGCGGCACACACCTGTAGTCCCAGCTTCTTGGGGGCTGATGCAGGAGGATTGCTTGAGCCCGGGAGGTTGAGGATGCAGTGAACTCTGATTATGCGACTATATTCCAGTCTGGGCAACAGAGCAAGACCTTGTCTAAAAATATATATATTACTATGATCTGATGGCAGTCAGTCCACAAATAAAATTTTCCTCTCTCTTTCCCAGCAAAGCAGATTTGAGTAAAGAGAACTGCTTTCTTTGTAATGTTAAGCTACATTGCTACCACTTTTTGGCAAGTTGTTTAATCTAGAATCCTGTTTATTGTTGATGTTTGTTAACATTATTACACAGAATAAATGTATTACATATGTAATAAACATATTATAATATGCATTAAATATTCTGCATACAGCAGAAATTCATACAAGTCTGTTCTAGACTTTATCCAAGAGTAGTAAGTCAAAAAGACCTCATTTCTCTTATAATTTGGAATTGTAACATGAACCTCTAAGAGACTATAATAACTGTTTTATTAATCTACATAAGTAGGACTTAAGAAGAATTAACATTTATACAGAAATCTAAAACAGTACTCTGTAAATTGATATTTCGCATCTAGGATAAATAATAAGATGATAATATCTCTTGTTACACAAAAATTCTATTTATAAACTTGGATGTTAACACAATGTTAAGACATTATGTAAATTTTCTTGAAAATATTTTGGAAAAGAAAAATAACAGCAATTTTTAAAGGTAGGGTTTTTTTTCAAACTAAATTACCTAACGTATTGAGAGAAGCAACATAAATTACATATTTTTGCTTTATTATACTTGTATAGACTTGAATTTCTAGAACACAAAAAGTCAAGTTTTATGCTAAATTAAGAGAGAGTTCAGCATCTTCTTCCCTTCCTCCAAGATTCAGGTTGTCCATTGAATTATAATCATGACTTGTCAATAAGAAGCAAAGAATCAAGATATTAACAATAACCACATATATTCACAAAGAAAGCCCTAAGGTCCCAATATATCACCGTGCTTAGAAAAGTCACCACCAGGTAGACAGCATTGATACTGAGATCCCATTCCTGTACTTTATATCTCCTCAAATTGAAAAGACCATACAACATAGAGGGAATGGTATTGATTGATTGATTGATTGATTATATCAACCACCAAGATATTTATCCTTTAGATGAAAGTAATTTTTTATTTTAATTTTTTAGTAACTTTCAAAAATAATTAATATTAGAATTAGACAATGTTTGTGTATCTTATGCATAAGACGAAAAGCACAGGAATAGTTATTCCCATTGGTTGATTTTGGACTTCAGCTGAAACAAGATGCAGGCTTTGTAGATACCTGGTCCTCATTCATTTCTGTCAGTAATTTGTTGGCAAGGTCTTTCTCGTTCTTGTCTGCCACCTTATTGTTAGCATTTAAAAATAGCTGTTAAAAACAGAGACAAGAATAATGGAGAAAGAACATTACATTGTTTCCTATAAGCAGCAATGAAGCTTAAAGGGGTTTCCATGTCTCTTGAAAATAAATGCAAGAATTCCCTTGTGAAGTATACCACACTTTTAGAAATTAAATATTATTCACTTTTTAGATTATGAACTAACAGTAGTTTGTATACTATACAATTATTATATACTTCTCTCTTGGAATTCAAAGTTACTAAAATAAGAAACAATGGCAATAATTAGAATTAGTTAAAATTCCTAAATTCTTAAAGAATCAGCAAAGAATGTCTCACAGTGATATGGTTTGGCTCTGTGTCCCCACCCAAATATCATCTTGAATTGTAACTCCCACAATTCCCATGTATTGTGGGAGAAACCGGGTGGGAGGTCTCATGATACATGAATAAGTCTCATGAGATCTGAAGATTTTATATTATAAAGGGAAGTTTCCCTGCACAAGCTCTCTTCTCTTGTCTGCGCCATGTAAGATGAGCCATTCACCTTCCACCATGATTGTGAGGCCTCCCCAGACACATGGAACTATGAGTCCATTAAACCACTTTCTTTTGTAAATTACCCAATCTCAGGTATGTCTTTATGAGCGGCGTGAAAATGGACTAATACATACAGAAAAGAAGAAAAGCTGTTACTGACAGAGACTAAGGTACCATAGTACATAACACCCAGTAAGGGTTCTATAGTTAAGGAAGTCTGTGAAATGCTATGGAACTAACTTTAAAAACAGTTCTTTCTAAAATACATCTCAGAGTCTCAAATATGCTAATGTGTACTTTGGCAAGAGAGGTCAGGGTGCAGCATTTCCAAACTTTATCTGACCACACATTTTGTTAAAACATGAGTTTAAAAGCATTCTCCAAAATCATGAAGAATTGAGCTTAATTTATATTAGTTTGTATTCTGTAAAGAAAGATTGAGATTATATTTAGCATACATTGGCATTACTCTCTTCTGAATAAAAGAAAGGAATCAAGTATTTTAGTTTCAGTACATAAAACTCAGCATCACAAAAGGCCTTCGCCTTGCCCACAGTTTGGGTACAGAGAAAGAAAGTTCAAACGAGATTAAAAGGGGGAGAGAGTTAGATTTATAAAGGAACTTATTAAGACCATCCTAAGAAAAGAAGTTCTTAGGAAGTTCTATTATTTTAGAAATGAGAAAACAAAGGACAGGTTACGTGCTGAAATTTGTACTATAAAATAAACTAGATAAAGGTGTGGTATTATATGTTATGCAAGAGTATATGTAAGGCTTAACATAACAATAAATTGATATACACTATAGGTCTTGGAATCAGAGACTTGAGTTTAAATTTTGGTTCTGCAACTTATTGGCTATCAGGTTTTAAGGAAAATTACTTCGCCAAGCTTTTCTCAAAAATAGGGAGAAAAATATCTCATCAAATAGCTATACATATTAAATGACCTCATCCACACTAGCTTATTAGCATAGTATCTGGCACATAACAGAGACTTAACAAATGAAAGATGTCGGCCAGGCCGGTCAGGCATAGCTCATGCCTATAATCCCAGCACTTTGAGAGGCTGAGGCAGGAGGATACCTGAGGTCATCAGTTGGACACCAGCCTAGTCAACATGGTGAAACCCTGTCTCTACTAAAAATGCAAAAATTAGCCAGGTGTGTTGGCACCTGCCTGTAGTCCCAGCTACTGGGGAATCTGAGGCAGGAGAATCACTTGGAGGCAGAGGTTGTAGTGAGCTGAGATAGCAGTACAGCAGTACTGCACTACAGCCTGGGTGACAGAGCAAGACTCTGACTCAAACAAACAAAAAAATGAAAGGTGGCATTATTACAAGCAAAGGTTTTTGAAATAATAATATGTCATATTTAGGTAAAGGGAAACAAATGGTCAGATAAAACTGATCAATGTAAAAATGAGTAACATCTTTCCAGAAAGCAAGAGAACAATTCATATGAACAATCTTTGGGCAGCTTAAAAAATTTACATTAATTCAAATCATAGCCCTGAAATTTAATAAAATTAACTGACAAATGTTTAAGGTTCATCATAGCCATCATAAAAGTTTAATATATGATTCCATGGAATTGTAAAGTACTCTATAGTATGATGAAACTCATTTTGCCAAGCCAAGAAGCCTTTACACAAATACTTAAGGAAATCAATGCATACTTAAATAGGTTGATGAATCTCATACAAAAAGAAAGCATGAAAACGGCAGCAGTCAGCTTAAGGTTGTCTAGATTCACAAATTGTTTATGATACTTTAAACTTTATTTGCCAAAGTTTCCAATGGTTCTAAATGTGTAAACAGCAAAACTGTCTTGATTCTGTACTACTGTAAAAAAGAGCATAAAGGATTCATTTTTTACTAACAAAAAATCATTTAAACAAAAAATTGTAGACATCTATATAGCATCATGCAATATATTTGGGAACTTAGGATTTTACAAGATTCCAAAGATTTTTATATATTCAGGAATCATATCAAATATGTCCAGAAAATGTTTTTATATCAATAAAACAGCTGATTCTCCTATATTTAATGCATAGAAAACATTTTTTCCTACTGACTAAACAGTGACCCTAAGTTCCAGTAATACGATTAGAAAATTACATATTACAATGGATTTAGGGTCAGAAAACCTGGGTAAGAAATCCTACCTCCATCAACGATTAGTGTTGACCTTGGGCTAATCATTTAATGCCTCAGGACACTTTTCCTTATGTGTATAATAAAGAAGTTTAGAAGCTTATTTAACGATTCCCCTTTGTTGTAAAGACTTAATGGCTTCAATGTCTAGTGATAAATCTAAAGTGATTCTGACAAAAAAAAAATTCTTGAAATAAGGAAGACTATTACTAAAGATCGAGTCTCTCTCTGTCACCCAGGCTGGAGTGCAGTGGTGGGATGGCTCACTGCAACCTCCATCCTCCAGGTTCAAATGGTTCTTCAGCCTCCTGAGTAGCTGGGATTACAGGTGCACACCACCACACCTAGCTAATTTTTATATTTTTAGTAGAGATGGGGTTTCGCCATGTTGGTCAGGCTGGTCTCAAACTCCTGACCTCAAGCGATCGACCCACTTTGGCCTCCTCGAGTGCTGAGATTACAGGTGTGAGCCACCACGCCCAGCCAGTTTTCCCTCTTTATAGGGGTTTCTTCTCCAGCATTTTTGTTTCAAAATAAAATGTGACAGGTGGTGTCAAATAATTAACTTTTAAAAATCATTTGACTGTCAGCAAGTTTCCAGACATAAATTTTAAGAAACTTTGGGCTATATCACAGTACAAAGAACAAACATTAGCTCACCATCATGATAGCTACGACAAACAGCTTTGTATTTTTTAAAAAGATGTTATTCATATTAGAAATTTATTATATGAGTTTCATATACTGAAGAAAAACCAATGCTAATAAATTATAGTAGTAACTATATTGTATCCTAGAGATGACCCTATATATGAACCTATACGTGTGTAATTAGTAGATTCTTTTTTTTTGTTTTCTGGACAGAGTCTCGCTCTATGGCCCCAAGATGGAGTGCAGTGGCGTGATCTCATCTCACTACAACCTCTGCCTCCTGGGTTCAAGTGATTCTCCTGCCTCCCAAGTAGCTGGGACTCCAGGCACATGCCATCACATCTGGCTAATTTTTTGTTTTTTTAGTAGAGATGAGGTTTCATCATGTTAGCCAGGATAGTCTCGATCTCCTGACCTCATGATCTGCCTGCCTCAGCCTCCCAAAGCGCTGGGATTACAGGCATGAGCCCCTGCGCCCTGCCAATTAGCAGATTCTTTACGCATGTGAGATGCTGGTTTTATCATTGTATTTGTCTTTATAACTGATAAAGCCACACAGGTATAGGCAGAGATTGCAGTGAGCCAAGATCGCGCCACCATACTCTACAGACATACATGGTTAATTCTTGGGGCATCTCTGCAATTCTTAAATTATTTATGCAAAAATCCAGAAGAAACCAGGAACCAGCCATCCCTTGTTTCCAATCTCCCAAGTCAAGACTTTTTCTTGATGTGATTCATGCCAAACACTCAAGACACTGCTGTATTTCAGATGGATCAAGCCTATTTAATCTTTAATCTTAAAGCAGATAGAAACAATTGAGGGCCTTCCATGTAGAAAGTGGGGTCAGGAAGCCAAGAAAGGGAATATGAATGTATATCCAAGTCACTCTGAAACTTTTATGCAGGTATAAGAAACTTATGTCAAAGTGGCCAGAGGTTGTTTAACAGGAGATAGAAGAATATAACTCCATGTTTACTACTAGAAACCAGAGCTTTGTGTGAAATCTTGAATTATGGGGAGAGAGGGAGGGTACCTGTCTGTTCTTTTCCTGATCCCTTCACCTCATTCCTGAACTGCAGGAGACCGAGCTCCTTTGGGCTTTGGAGACCCCATCAATGAGGTGTGTTTATTTGATGGTTGATTTTGCTATACCGGGTACTTCCTTTCCTATTTTCTAATCATTTTGTAATACACATGCTGATTCTTTTCCCTTCCCTCCTCCTTTCCCTGGGAAGATACAATAAATAAATAAATAATTATTGGTACCGAAAAAAATTGCAATGAATCCTAATTTTTAAATTAATCATATTCTAATACATATCATAATAAATAATATTTGTAATGAATTTATAAATAAAAGGAGGATAGTATCCCATTGTAGTTTATATCATTTAATACATGATGTAGCTGTTCTAATACTTTTAAAATCAGCTTGAGTTTTAGGTTATAAAATGCTGGCCATAAAGTAAAGATGGAAAGGGACGAGGAAAAGCATTTTATGCCCCTTCTTTGGGAGAGAGTTGTGCAGCCAGGCAAATTTTTAAACCAAATATATTTTATTTCTGATATTTATTCTGCTCCCCTACCCTAATATAATCCTGTTGTTCAAGGCATCCAACCACAAATTTAATCAATTTGACTTTATTTATTAAGCTTCTACTGTGTGCCAAATACCTAATAATAGGAGAGAAGAGATTAAAGTCAGCCTGCTTGGCTTCAAATAGACCACAGTTGAATATGAAACACAAAAAGTTTAAGTGTCACCCTATAAACTTGTAAAAGATACTACAGGGGCCAAAAATATATATCTATCTAGACCTAGCAGCACCAGAAAATATTATGTAGTAATTTTTTAAAAAGAAAAGGAAAGAAATTATTTCAAGTAGCTATAAAAGCATCAAGGAGATAGATAAAAAAGCATGAATAAGAAAACATGAGGGGTTTAATAAGGGTCTTTGTAAGAAAGGCTTAAGAGACAGGCCTCAAGTCAGATGTCTTAGAGCCTTTCACAAGTCATGGTAAGGAGATTTTAAGATCACTAGAATATTTTAATGGTTTGGAGAGGACATCTTAAACAAAGAATTTTGATGACATTCAATTCAATGATGACATTGACTGACGTATCAAAAAGATAGTTTAACTTCAGTGTAGAAGGGGATAAGTGTGAAAAGGGGCTGGGCGAGGTGGCTCACGCCTGTAATCCCAGCACTTTGGGAGGCCCAGGCGGGTAGATAACGAGGTCAGCAGATGGAGACCACCCTGGCTGACATTGTGAAACCCCATCTCTACTAAAAATACAAAAATTAGCCAGGTGTGGAGGTGCGTGCCTGTAGTCCTAGCTATGCAGGAGGCTGAGGCAGGAGAATCACTTGAACCCAGGAGGCAGAGGCTGCAGTGAGCTGAGATTGTGCCATAGCACTGCAGCCTGGGTGACAGAGTGAGATTCTACATTAAAAAAAAAAAAAAAAAAAAGTTATTTCTTGTTCAGGCACAGTGGCTCACACCCGTAATCCCAGCATTTTGGGAGGCCAAGGTGGGCAGATCACGAGGTCAAGAGATCGAGACCATCCAGGCCAACATGGTAAACCCCATCTCTACTAAAAATACAAAAAATTAACTGGGCGTGGTGGCCTGCTCCTGTAGGCCCAGCTACTCGGGAGGCGGAGGTATGAGAATCACTTGAACTCAGAAGGTGGAGGTTGCAATGAGCCAAGGTTTCACCACTGCACTCAAGCCTGGTGACAGAGCAAGACTCAGTCTCAAAAAAAAAAAAACAAAGGCTATTTCTTATACAAAAACATTATTCAGTGAATGACATACAATTTGAGTTGGAGTAATCAGTTTGCACCAAGCAATCCACATGTTTTACATAATACTCACTGTAATCAGTGGCATGCATTTATAGGATATGTAACTTGGAGTCTACAAACTGTGGTAGAAGACAGTGCTTCCTTTCAAATACTCATCTTAGTACACTCAGGCACAAATAGAAGAGCTCAGAAGCAACTAATGACCTACAGGGCCTCAAGGATATTCCTGTATGGAATGAAAATAATATACTTCATAAACTGAAATGCTTCCCATACAAAAAAATTCCAGTTTGACTACCTTTCAAGTATTTAGACAATTGCAAGTGATTTAATACTAGTTTCAATTCAAGAGAAAACTTGGTTATGTGATTATACAAACAGAGATTAAGTATAAAAATTAGTAGTAAAACTATACTTAAATGTGAAACAAAACAAAAAACAGTATCTTCTTAAAATCAAAGACAACAACAAAAATAGAAAAATACCTTGCAGTTCTGTAGCAGTCTTATGAGATGTTCAAAGCAATTGCTGTTAAGAAAAATAGCCTGAAGAACAGGTCTATCTGTACAATCTAACATGGCTGTGATGGTATCTAGAAAAATAAAAAGAAAATCATCCATGCAAAAGTGAAAATTTGGGATCATACAAACATTTACAAGAATCATTTTTCTTTTTAATTTTTAAAACAATTATGGTGTTCAATATTTTTTAAATGACACTGACACACACAAACACATGAAAGCATTTGTATGCCTCAAGAAACTATACACCAAACCATTAATGTTGGTTATGTCTGTGTGGCAGCATATAAAGAACTTTTCTTTTCACTGAATTTCCTAGTTTAGCTTTAATAAAAACATTTCATTTCTATAAGGAACTATCAGTTATTAATATTTTATTTAACCACCTTACATGGGAATACAATAAGAAATCATATTAGTGAAGGAGCTTGCAGAGCAGAGAGACAAAGATAAATAAGCAGAGTGACAAAACAACTAACACGAAGAGAAGGGAAGAGAAACAAGGACAAAGACAAAGACACACACACACACACACACACACACACACACAGGCTCTGAGGAAAAAAAGAAACAAAACAGAGGCCCTCTAGAGAAAGGACATTTTTTTTTTTTTTTTGACACAGAGTTTCGCTCTTTGCTCTTTAGCCAGGCACAAGGCTGGAGTGCAGTGGCGCGATCTCGGCTCACTGCAACCTCCACCTCCCGGCTTCAAGCAATTATCCTGCCTCAGCCTCCCAAGTAGCTGGGACTACAGGCATGCGCCACCATGACCAGCTAATTTTTGTATTTCAGTAGAGATGGGGTTTCACTATGTGGCCAGGATGGTCTTGATCTCTTGACCTTATGATCCGCCCACCTCGGCCTCCTAAAGTGCTGGGATTACAGGCATGAGCCACCACATCCAGCTGAGAAAGGGCAGATTTTTCAAGTGACCTCTACAGAGATGTTATAGAGGCACATACAAAATTTATTGTATGTGACTCTTTGCCATAGGTTACTACAAATGGTGCTTTCTGAAAATTTACTTTTCCTAGAATTTCAAAGTCATAGCTTTCTTTTTAACATTGATGCTTTTAGGAGATTACACTTTCAAAACAATACAGAGACTTGACTTTGTTATTGTTAAAGCAAAGAGACTGTAACAAACACATCAATTCTATATAAATTATTTTGAAGTCAAAGTCTAAGCAGCCACATGATATCTGAATTAAATAATCAAGAGTTTCCATAAAATGGCCTTGTATTTCAAAAGAAAGTGGGAGATATGAAAATAAAAAACAGACTTAGAAAAAGTTGTCATTATGTAATACTTACTAAGCATTTTGATCTGTAGAGCAATAAATCGGCTTTCCCACTGTCTGGACCTTCTTTGATTAGGTAAAGCTGAAGGATCTGAATTTAGCAATTTAAAATAGTTCTCCAGAATAGTACTGGTTTCCACTTGACGCTGATCAGAGTTGCTACTGAGAAGGATATGTACCACTTGCGTAAGGCACTTCAGAGTTAGTTCTGCCTTCCTACCCACTTCTTCAGGATCTCCATCCTCCCAGGAATCACAATCTGCCAAAACTCGCATAAGAACTTCCATAGTGGCTGGAGAAATTGCTTGCAAAGCATTCCTCTGAAACATTAGAGACAATAAAAATGAAACCTAAACCTAACTGAAGAGTACTCTATGTATGCAACAATGAGAATTTAATACATCTGCAGGCAACCTTTTCTTTTCTTTTTTTTTTTTTTTTTTTTGAAAAATTTTTTTTTTTTTTTTCTTTTTTTTTTTTTTTTTTTGAGACAGAGTTTTGCTCTTGTTGCCCAGGCTGGAGTACAACAATGGCGCAATCTTGGCTCACAGCAACCTCCACCTCCAGGATTCAAGCGATTCTCCTGCCTCGGCCTTCCGAGTAGCTTGTTTTACAGGCACACGCCACCACACCCAGCTAATTTTTGTATTTTTAGTAGAGATGGGGTTTCTCCATGTTGGTCAGGCTGGTCTTGAACTCCCGACCTCAGGTGATCTGCCCACCTCGATCTCTCTAAGTGCTGGGATTACAGGTGTCAGCCACTGTGCCCGGCCAACTTTTTCTTTTAATAAATAAACACATAAAAATTTGTAACAGATACTCTGATAGACACTGCTAGTGGTTCATACATATTAAATCTTTCCTTCCTCTCAGAAAACTTACTTCTGAGAGGAAGGAAAGGGTAGCCAGCTAAGGGTAGCCATGTGACATAGTTTTGGTCAAGGATATCTGGTAGTAGACTACAAAGACGGTATCATTTTATAAATAAAAAGGGAAGGACCCTTTGCCCTTGGTCCTTTCACTTTTCCTGCCTAGAATATAGACATAATGCTTACAGCCACTTTTATATCATGAAGAGATAGGTCCAAGATGAAAGTAGCAGGGTACAGAAAGAACAGAAATATCAAAGGACCTCAGTCTTTGATGTTCTCACTGCGCTGCTGTACCAGGTGAGAACTGCCTAAACCTGAATTTCTTAGGCAAAATCAAACAAATAAAAAACAACTTCAAATTGGTTAAGTCTCTCTCAGGTTTCCAGGTTGGTTACAGAAAATCCATCGCAACTGATTTAAACATATAAGATGACTGGTTTGGTTTCGATTCTATAAACAAGTTTCTGAAACTCCATACACTAAGTAATCGGCAGCTATATGTCAAGGTGACCAGTAAAACACGGACATCAATTCATCTAAATGTCCTTGTACTAATGCCATACTCAACAAACAACTTTCTAATTTTTATATAAATCCCACTATAACTATGCCTGGATCACAAGGATTTTCAGTATATAAAATAATAAATTGGGCTTCCACTATCTACTTGATTTCAGTGTTAGGTTTCATTATGGAGGTCTCTTGGGGCTTGACTACCCCTAGGCACTAACAAGAACAAGTCTCTGTGTTTTCAAAAAAAGAAGGAGATCCAATCAGCTTCCACATTAGTCATAACAATGCCACTTCCATTTTCTTTCCTGTATACTTACTCACTTTTTCAGTGTAGTAGAGAAATTATAGAAATGGGGAGATAATGACCCAAAAGAAGGAAATCAGCTAATACTGAAACATGATTAAGGAAACTTAAATTGGAAAACAAGATTCTGGTCATCACCTGTCTCACTACAAAGAGACTCTTTTCTTCTAGAGTAAAGAGCAGAAGGTCACACAGTCCACCAGGAAACCTAACTAGCGACTCTGGCAAGGTACCAAAAAAAGGACACGACAAACAAAAGAGAAGGAAATTTCAGTAGTGCTCTGGAGGGTAATAAGGTACAAAGGTAAAAATGAATAAAAATACTTTTTTAAAAAAGGCCATTGAGCATAAGGGCCATTCAATGAAAACAAAAATGATAATATAGAGAGAAAACAAAACAGAGCAAAACAAGGAGGAAAAGGGAATTGTATCAGTACCAACAGATCAGAAACAAACTCAGGATGGTATTCACAAAATTAATACTCAATAAAATATCTAAATTGGACATAATAAAAAAGAAATCCCCAAAATACATAAAGTCAACTTTTACAAAGTTCACTTGAGAAACAAAAACTATACTCTCTCAAATCTCTAAACAGAGTAAGAAATGATAAATTATCAAACAAATAACAACTGCTTATGGCTAGAAGATTAAAAGTTCCCTACAGCTGTAAGTTAAAGAGCCTTATAAAAGACTCTTGAACTCAAATAAATAAGCATTAATCTTCATGATGTCTTCCTGAAGGTAGACAAGAATTTCCTCCTAATGCCCCAAATAATAAGGTAATATGCCTAGAGTATTATTGGCATAATTTTGTATCTTTAAATAAAATTTACTTCAGTTTTTAAAAATACAGGTTTCTAAGTTTTTAAAATTATGTAATTTGGTACAACAATATTAAGAACATAGTACACTGATGTTAGTAAGAGAATGCTTAATGTGAAAGAAAAAACTGATACTTAAAAAAGAGAGATAAGAACTTTCAACCTAAGAGAAAGAAACAGAGGGATAGAGGGGAGGGAATTAAGGAAATCTGCAAACATGGATGGGAAAAAATAGATATCTTAATATCTTATAACCTCTAACTAAAATTGAGTATTTCCTTGAAATTTAAATGTAAGTAACAAAAGCACAGTAGTAAAATAATACTTGTGATTTGTTGGCCTGGCATAGTGACTCACACCTGTAATCCCAGCACTTTGGAAGTCTTGAGTAGGCAGGTTGCTTGAGCCAGGAATTTGTGATCAACCTGGGCAACATGGCAAAACAGTGTCTTTACAAAAAATATAAAAATTATCCGGGTGTGGTGGCATGCACCTGTAGTCCTTAGGAGGCTGAAGTGAGAGAAATGACTGAGCCCAGGAGGTCAAGTTTGCAGTGAGCTGTGATAGAGCCACTGCATTCCACTCTGGGCAGCAGAACAAAACCCTGTCTCAAAACAAAACAAACTTGAGATTTTGTCACCAGTAAAAATCATATGCATTTTCATTTATTATAGCTGTTACAGTCTCTCAAAATATAATTTATGCTAATTTCTTTTTGAAAGTTACATTAGTTTCTAGATTTGCTGTTATAACTTTTTAATTTAATGTATTATAAAGAAGCACAAGTGGACAAAGGATATGGACAGACTCTTTTCAAATGAAGACATTTATGTGGCCAACAAACATATGAAAAAAAGCTGATCATCACTGGTCATTAGAGAAATACAAATCAAAACCACAATGAGATACTATCACATGCCAGTTAGAAAGATCATCAAAAAGTCAGAAAAGAACAGATGCTGGAGAGGATGTGGAGAAATAGGAACACTTTACTGTTGGTGGGAGTGTAAATTAATTCAACCATTGTGGAAGACAGTGTGGAGATTCTTAAAGGATCTAGAATGAGAAATACCATTTGACCCAGCAAACCCATTACTGGTTGTGTACCCAAAGGATTATAAATCATTCTACTATAAAGACACATGTACATGTATGTTTACTGCAGTACTATTCACAATAGCAAAGACTTGGAACCAACTCAAATGCCCATCAATGATAGACTGTATAAAGAAAATGTAGCACATACACCATGGAATACTATGCAACCATAAAAAAGGGTGAGTTCATGTCCTTTGCAGGGACATGGATGAAGCTGGAAACCATCATTCTCAGCAAACTAACACAGGAACAGAAAACCAAACACTGCAAGTTCTCATTCTTAAGTGGGAGCTGAACAATGAGAATACATGGACATGGGGAGGGGAACATCACACACCCGGCCTGTCGGGAGATTGGGGGACTAGAGGAGGGATAGCATTAGAAGAAACACCTAATGTAGATGATGGGTTGATGGGTGCAGCAAACCACCATGGCATGTGTATACCTATGTAACAAACCTGCACGTTCTACACATGTATCCCAGAACTTAAAGTAAAATCAAAAAAATGCAAGGAAAAAAAAGCACATATTACTATGTCACAGATTTGTTTTATAAATATTTTAGTAACTGCATTTCAGTTTAATTGGTTTCCTTTATTTCAGGCATTTTAAAACATCCTGACAAAGGGCTTTATCAGATTGCCAAAGGGATGTATGGTATAAAAAGTACAAAAAGTGTTAGGAACCTCTGATCTAAACTGTATGGGTTAAGAAAACATATGTATAAGAATGCACTTTCTGAACTATAAATCCTTTTGTCAACTAGAATTTATATTCAAAGTTTATGACAGTGGTTGGGCATGGGGGGCTCATGCCTGTAATTCCAGCACTTTGGGAGGCCAAGGTGGAGAGATCGCTTGAGCCCAGCAGTTCAAGATCAGCCTGGGCAACATGGCAAAAATCTTGTGTCTACTAAAAATACAGAAATTAGCTGGGCATGGTGGTGTGTGCCTGTAGACCTAGCTACTAGGGAGGCTGAGGGGGGAGGATTATTTGAACCTGGGAGGCAGAGGTGGCAGTGAACCAACGATTGTGGCTCTAAACTCCAGCCTAGGTAACACAGCAAGACCCCATTTCAAAAAACAAAAACCAAAAAGTTTATGACAGTACTTAGATGCTTACCTTAAAAAATATATAGTAGAAATTCTTTTTTGTAAATTTTAAAACACTTAACTTTTTTGAAAAAAAAAAAAACCCATAAACTTACATAGATGCATTTAGTATTATAGGTACACAGAACAGTGAATAAATTCCTGTCTTTAGAAACCAAACTACTAGAGTTTTATTTCATCAAGTGAACTGATAAGGTTGATTTCCTCTGTCATCTGAAATAAAAACTAGTATCTGAAAGCTAACATAAATAAAAACTTACAATACCAAAAATCGTTAAATTTGCTTATTTATTCAGTAATTTTATTTTCAGTGCTAAACATTACTTAGGTTTTTTGGAAAATAAAAGTAGATTAGTTTAAAACAATATATAAATTCAATATTTGTACGATGAATTAAATTATAAAAAGACAAAGAATACACTAAATAATCCATGGAAAGCTTTTTGTACCGTTAATTATAGTTTTATTTATTAAATTTCAACATTTTTCTTACCTGCCCACCGGCTACAATGGCTCCAAAGAGATGCAATAAGCAACACTTAAGACTTTCCTTGAGATGTTCACTTTCCTGAAAACATTCTGTAAATATATTACACACATAATAATATTTTCTTTTACAATATGATTTATCTCTAAGGAATGTCTGATACAAACATGAACTATTTGTGAAAAGGCTAATCTGTGTTAAAAGGCAAGGTTGATATGCATTTTGTCTTAGGAAAAGAGAAGCCATCTACCAGATAGCATTTTAGGTATTTATGTGATCTCATTTAGTTCTCATAATTCTTCATATAAGGATGATATTTGGCCCCCATTTATAAATGAGAAAAAGGAAGAAGTTAACATCTTGGCTCAAGTCACATGGCTACTGACAGGGCTACAAACTAACCCAAAGTGGCATAAAATTAGACGTCTCTCGAGTCTCACTCTATTGCCCAGGCTGAGGTGTAATGGAACAATTTTGGCTCACTGCAACCTCTGCCTCCCAGGTTCAAGCGATTCTCCTGCCTCAGCCACTGGAACAACTGGGATTACAGGCACCTGCCACCACACCTAGCTAATTTTTGTATTTTTAGTAGAGACGACATTTCGCCATGTTGGCCAGGCTGGTCTCAGACTCCTGACCTCAGGTGATCCACCCACCTCAGTCTCCCAAAGTGCTGGTTTTACAGTCGTTAACCACCGCGCCCAGCCTAGATGTCTCTTTACTAAGACTATTACCTCTCATTAGTAAAAACTGACCATAACTAGTCAACTATAAAATGAATGAGTTGGACAAATATATTTCCGCGGTCCACTCCAGAGCCAATATTCTAAATTCTGGTACTAATAATAACCTTTCCTGTAACATTATAAATTATTATATTGTTTTTAAAAAGGCTATACATGTACATGACAAAGAAAAAAACAGCATAAAATAACTGACAAGGAAAAGTAAGTCTCCCTTTGACCTATTCCTCAACCCACTGACACTACTACTGCTTGCACACCTGTAATTCCAGCACTTTGGGAGGCTGAGGGATCACCTGAGGTCAGGACACTCTCCAAATATTTGCAGGTTAAACAACATATTCCTTTTCATTTTATTAACTTAATCTTTTTTAATTGACAAATACAAGTTGTATATATTTATGGTGAACAACAGGATATTTTGAAATATGTATATATTATGGCTAAATCAAGCTAATTAACATAAACACTACCTCACATACTTAACTTTTTTTGTGGTGAGCTCTCTCTTAGCTATGTGCTTAGCAATTTTTAAGTATACAATGCATTGTTACTAACTACAGTCACAATGTTATGTAGTAACTCTCTTGAATTTATTCTTCCTAACCAAAATTTTGTATCCTTTGACTGACATTTCCCCAATTTGAAAATATTTTAAAACAAAAGAAGAAAAAATTGTTTTAATTTAACAAAATTAAACATATCAAAGTCTGTGGGGCACAACGAAAGTAATGATTCATGTTCATTCTAGAAAAGGTCTAAATAAATATCTAATTAAAGATTGAACTTTTACTCTAAAAAGCTAGAAAAAGAAGAGCAATTAAGAGGGAGTTAATATTAAATAGAAAAAATAATGAAAAAGGAAATGAATAAACAATAGAGGAAAATCAGTGAAATCAAAAGCTAGTTCAATGAAAAGATCAATATAATTTTTTAAGAGACAGGGTCTCACTATGTTGCCCAGGCTGGAGTGCAGTGGCTATTCATAGATGCAAATCATAGTTCTCTACATCTCTAAACCCCTGGGCTAAGTGGTCCTCCTGCCTCAGCCTCTAAAGTAGCCAGGACTACAGGCGTGTGCCAGGATCAATATAATTTAAAAACCTCTAGCTAGACCCATCAAGAAAAAAGAAGAAAGAAAAATGTAAATTATCAATTTCAGGAATGAAAGGGGAGACATCAATCTAGAGTCCATAGATTTAAAAAGGATACATGAAGAAATAATATGAACAACTTTATGCCAATAAATTCAACACAGATGCAAAACAAATTCCTTGAAAGACATGCATTACAAAAACAAACACAAGAAAAAATAATCTGAGTAGCCCTTTATCTAGTAAATAAATCTACTCCATAATTTAAAGCCTTTTCACATTGGGAACAATAGCACATGCCTATAGTCTCAGCTACTCAGGAGGCTGAGGTGGGAGGATCACTTGGGCCCAGGAATTTGAGACCAGCCTGGGCAAAAAACAAGATTCTGTCTCAATGAAAAACAAAACGAAAACTTTCCACAAAGTAACCTCCAGGTCCAGATTTGCTGGTGAATGTTAAGAAAATCATAATAGCATTGTCAAACCAACTCTCACAGAAAATAGAGTGAAAGAGAACCCTAACTCATTTAATATGACCAGTATTGTTTTTTGAGCCACTGAATCAATAGTATTTTGTTATACCAGCCCAAACAGATTAAGATAGATGTTGGTACAAAGAAGTAGAGTGCTACTATAACAAAGACCTAAGAATACAGAAGCAGCTTTAGAACTGGGTAATGGGTAGAAGCTGGAAGAGTTTTGAGGTACATGCTAGAAATACGGACCTTCAGGGCAATTCTGGTGAGCTCTCAAACATAAATAAGGAGTATGTTATTGAAAACTAGTAGAAAGGTGATCCTTATTATAAGGTGGCAAAGAACTTGGCTGAACTGTATTCTAGTGTTTTGTGGAAGGCAGAACTTGCAGCAAACAATGAAACAGGATATTTAGCTAAGGTGATTTCTAAGCAAAGTACTGAAGGAGCAGCTTGATTTCTCCTTCTGACTGTTTATAGTAAAATGAGGAGAGAAATAAACTGAAGAAACTGTTAAGCCCAAAAGAACCAGAAGTTGAAGATTTAGAAAATTCTCAGCCTATCCAAATTACAAAAAACAAACACACAAGAAAGCTTGTTCTGAAGAAAACACTGAGGATATGACTGAAACAGATCATGGGTATAACTAGTGGACTTAATTAGCCAGCTCAGTGAAGCCAGGAATGGATATGGGATTATACCAGAAAAGACACTACCATTTTGAACTAAAGGGGACAGAGAAAGTGGGAAGGAATGAAGGTAGACTGTTGGACTTCTTGGATTCCATAGACCAGACCATAAAGCTATTCAGTTTGAATGTGTGATAAAAATAACTCCGAAAGCAATTCAGAGATCATGAGGGCTGCCACTCTCACCAAAGATCCAGGAGGCAAGCCTGTTTCCTCTTCCTTGGTTTCAAAGGGCAGGACCACAGGTCACGTTTCTGTGGGCCAGTATGACCTACCCAGTGCCTCAAGGGTGGGGCTGCCCTCACAGATGGTGTTATGGGTGAAGCCCTTGCAGAGAGCTGGGGTGGGTGGGTGACACTAGCCCCCCAGTGGCCATGGAGAGTAGAGTATCAAACCAAAGCGGACTACTCTCAAGCTTTAATGCCCAAGAGAATTTGCCTTACTAGGTTTTAGGCTTACCTGAGACTTGTTATCCCTTTATTCCTTCCACTATCTCCCTTTTGGAATGGGAATGTGTATCTTACACCTGTTTCAACATTGTATTCTGGCTATATAACTTACCCATTTTCAGAGGTTTGCAGCTGAAGAGGGATTTCGAGTCAGGAAGAATTTAACTTCAGTCTCACCAGTATCAGATTTAGATATTTAGATAAGATTTTGAACTTTACACTTACAGAGTTGATGTGAGAATGAGTTAAGACATTTGGGGCTGTTAGGATGAAAAGAATGTATTCTGCATGTGACAAGTTCATGAATGGGTGTGGAGCAAGGAAAGGGTGGTACAGAGTGAACTGTGTACCCCCAAAATTAATATGTGGAAGCCCTAACACCCCATGTGACTGTATTGTCATAGGGTCTTAAAGAGGTGATTTAAGTTAAATGAGGTCATAAAAGTAGAGCCTTGATCAAAGAGAACACGTGACCTTGTAAGAAGAGAAAGAGACAACAGTCTTTTTCCAGCATGTGAGGACACAGCAAGAAGGTTACTATCTGCAAGCCACAAAGAGAAATCTCCCTAGAAAATAAACCCTGATAGACTTTCCAGCCTCCATAACTGTGAGAAATAAATTTCTGTTATTTAAGCCACCCAGTCTATAGTATTTTGTTATAACAATCCAAGCTAAGACAAAAACCATACAAGATATATAAAGGAAAAAATCCTACAAACCCTTATCATCCTTGAAGAGAGATACAAAACTTTTAAACAAAATATTAGCCAATCAAATGTAGTATTACATGAAAAGGATAATATACTATAATCCTAGCACTTTGGAAGGCTGAGGAAGGAGGATCACTAGAGGCTACGAGTTCAAGACCAGCCTGGAGACAACATAGCAAGACCCATATCTACAAAAACATTTTGTTAGCCAATTGATATGGTTTGGATCTATGTCCCCACCCAAATCTCATGTTCAACTGTAATCCCCAGTGTTGGAGTGGGACCTGGTGGGAAGTGACTGGATCATGGGGGCGGATCCCTCATAAATGGTTTAGCATCATCCCTTTGGTGCTGTTTTCATGACAGAGTTCTCATAAGATCTGGTCATTTAAAAGTGTGTAGCACCTCCCTGCTTTCTCACACTTGTTCCTGTTCCTGCTTCGCCTTCTGCCATGAATAAGAGCTCCAGAAGCAGAGGCTATCCTGCTTCCTGTACAGCCTCCAGAACCATTAACCAATTAAACCTCTTTCCTTTATAAATTACCCCTGTCTCAGGTATTACTTTATGGCAGTGTGGGAATAAACTAATACACTGAGTATGATGGTGCATGCCTGTAATCCCAGCCACTCAGGAGACTGAGGCAGGAAAATCACTTGACCCCAGGAGTTTCAGGTTATATAGTAAGCTATGATTATACCATAGCACTCCAGACAGAGCAACAGAGCAACACCCTGTTTCTCTTTTTTTTTTTTTTAAGACGGGGTTTCACCATGTTGGTCAGGCTGGTCTTGAACTCCCGACCTCAGGTGATCTGCCCGCCTTGGCCTCCAAAGTGCCTGGATTACAGGAGTGAGCCACCACGCCCGGCCAACACCCTGTTTCTCAAAACAAAACAAAACAAAAAGACAAAGAAAATTTAATATAATTATATAATCACAACCAAAGGTAGTTTAGGCCAGAAATATGATGTTAGTTTCATATTTGAAAATCAATCTAAGTATTTTACCAATGAACAAGCACCTCAAATAGATGAAGTAAAAATACATTTTTAAAAAAGTCAATGTCCATTCAATAATAAAAACTATTGGCAAACTAGGGTTAAAATAAGATTTCCTCTACTTAATAAAGGGCATCTATTTTAAAAACATACAGCTAATATTGTATTTAATGGTGAAAGACTGAATTGTTCCCTTCCACATGTGAGAACAAGGATATAAAAATCAATATGTAAAAACAAATTATATTTCTAAATACTAGTTTTAAAAATGAAATATATAATTTAAAATAAATCAGGCTGGGCATGGTGGCTCTCACATGTAATCCCAATACTTTGAGAGGCTGAGATAGGAAGATCACTTGAGGCCAGGAGTCTGAGACCAGCCTAGGCAACATAGTGAGACTTTGTCTCCATGAAAAAAATTTTTTTGATTAGCCAGGAATGGTGGCACATTCCTATAGTTCTATGTATTTGGGAGGCTGAGGTAAGAGGACCACTTAAGCTCACAAGCTAGAGGTTATATAGTGAGCTATGACTGCACCACTGCACTCCAGTCTGGGCAACTGAATGAGACCCCATCTCTCCCAAAAAATGAGTAAATCATTTACAAAGCATATAAAATATACAATACTTTGGGATAAATTAACAAAATACGTGCACAAGCTATATACACAAGAGACAAAGACTTCTATGGGATACTTTACTTCTAAGCCAAGTGGCTCCCTGATACACCAATTTCATTTTATAACTTCACTTGGAGGACCAAAGAATAGCCCTTGGATGGCTGTGAGGACTCCTGCTGAATAGAAACACCTTATACTGTTCTACTGGCATGCTGGGTTTCCTGTCCTGTATTTTCTAAGTGAGGCCAGTTTCCAGAGATGGTCTATTGTGGAGCTTCATTACCTAACTAAAGCCAGTATCACTACTGGTGGTCAAGCAGAGTCAGCAATGTAGTCATCTTCAGCAAGCAAACAAAGGACTATTTCTGTCTTGTTTCATTTCACAGGGAAAAGAAAGAACTGAAGCAAATATGGCAAAATGTTAAGTGACAAATTTGAACGGGAAATACATATGCAAGAAACACGGCATTCCTTTTATATTCTGCAAATTACTCTACATTTTTGAAAGATGGCATATATAAGTCACATATACAGTGGCTAACACTCTCAAGTTTCCTATTTTCAGTAAAAATTCTGAAGTTCTAAAATATGCCACCATTGGCTGTGTGCAGTAGCTCACACCTGTAATCCTAGCACTTTGGGAGGCTGAGGCGGGAGGATCACCTGAGGTCAGGAGTTCAAGACCAGCCTGGCCAACATGTCAAAACCCCATCTCTACTAAAATTATAAAAATTAGCCAGGTGTAGTGGCCCACATCTATAACTCCAGCTATCTGGGAGGCTGAGGCAGGAGAATTGCTTGAACCCAAGAGGTGGAGGTTGTGGTGGGCCAAGATCACACTACCACACTCCAGCCTGGGTAACAGAGCAAGACTTCGTGTCAAAAATAAAATAAAATAAACCACCATCATTAAAATATTCAGCTATTCTCAAAAAAGAAAAAACACTTTGAGAACAGCAAATTAAACAAAACCACATACAATAATTGCAGCCAAACACAAATCATGTAACTTACTCCAGTGACATGTTCTTACAACTTTTCTTTTATAAATTCACAAAACTGAATCAATATCAGAATCAGAGTAAGAATAAAAAGTAATCAAAATAAGACGATAATCATAGCAAGAGAAATTAGAGGTGTTACTTACGATAAAAGAAAGGAACGAATTCCACTGTGAGAGAAGCTGGTTTATATTTCTGTCTGCTCTTTTCCACAGTACTAAGGATTCGTCTATCATTAAAAAGAAGTAAATAATAAATTACAACATGGGCAAGCAGAAATGCCACAATTACAAAAACAATTATAAAACAAATTTAGTATTTTGCTTTAGATTTGTGTCTTGAACTATGTATCTCTAGGATTGGCATAATCTTGAAAAGGAAGTCTAGCCAATAGCTTAAATGTTCATCAATTAAAAGATTTATTTTTTTGAATTATGCAACATGGTAGCTAGGTTAAATCTCCAAATAACTGGAAAATAAACAAGAAACCAGCCCTTAAAATTTCCTAACTGTAAAAGAATTTGTTCAGCAGTAATGCTAAACTGACAGCTCAGACTAGTAGCATATTAAAGTTGAAATTTTTCAGAAATCCAGGCTACACTGCCACTTTCTGAAACTTTGTAATAATAGATAATGAGGCCACATTAGCTTCTTTCATCTTGAGGATACAGATCCAGTATGGGCTGGGATTATTTTTGTTTTTAATGACAATTCTAGTAGTTTTGATGTATGTCATTTTTCTATAGGTTTTGGTAAAGCCAATACAAATTGCATGTGCTTTTATCAAGAACATTTCAATTCAAACAAAATGAATCTCATAGATGGGCATAGTGCTGTGGAGACTAGAGAATAAAGAGTAGTATTATGATGATACTTCCAACTAGTAGATGGTAAATTTATAAAAATCAGAGACATTTTTTCATTCCCTGAAAAAGCATTTAAAATTACTAGGTAAAGCTAATAAAAATAAAATATCTAAAGGACAGCCATATAGAAATTCTGTACATCTAAATATAATCTACTGATAAAGCACTGGTCTAAGATGCTTTCTTCTTTTTTCTTTTTTCAATGTTCAGTTTCCTTTAATGACTCCCATCTCCCTGAAGGCAGCAAGGTGATGGCAAGAGATGGATGCTTTCTTCTTAATGACTGTAACTGAGCTATTGAAACTACTTTCCTTATAATTATTTCAAAGCTAAGAAGAAATGTCAACTGACCATAGAACAAACCACATAGGATAAGCATACCTAGACTCACTGATAGCAGAATAAAGAGTTCTAAGATCCGGATCTACCAGCCAGATTCATTAGAAATCACATTAGACCTCATTTGCTATTGCACTGCTTTCCAAATCTATGCCTATTTCCAGTGTGTGGAAGGCAAAACAATGATTACGCCAGCTGTATTTATTTTAATTTTGAACATAACATGTTAGAACATTAATAATCTTCCTATTTAATTAATACATTATCAAAGATTTTCATGTCTTTGTAACAATACAAAATTCACTGGAGTTTCAAATTAAAAATTCAGTCACGTAGTAGAAAAATTGTTTAAAAGGATATAATTTCCCTTCATTTTGAGTTGATAAATATTTTAAATTAAAAAAAAAAAGTATAAATTTAATTTAGCTTTCAGTTAGGTTCTTCCATGAGATTATTTCCATTCTGTGCATCCTTTATAAATTATGGTATTAACTAATAGATTGCTTATATCCTATCCAAACAACCTATGCTACAAACAACAAGCATCCTCACCTGATTAACATAATAAAAATGCACTTCTACAATTGTGATCAATGACTCGTTCTAAAGTCCCTGTATTAGATGTAACAAATGAACATAATTTCCAACATATTTGTAATAAGAATTTAATATGCTAACATAAACAAAAGGGGTGAGAACTATTACATATATTAGAACACAAAAATTAAAGCACAATAGTTTGCACTGCATGTTTTCAATAAGTTAAGTTTGTAGAGCAAAAAATGAACTTTAGTCTCACATCATTTGTAGAATATAGCATAGTTAATTCCTCCGTTATTATTTGATATCTGGGCCAAGCATCTAGCATTTAGCAGATGCTAATACACATAAACTGGTTTCTAAGAGAGATGTAAAACACTTCTTTGCATCTCAGTTTTCTATGTTCTTGGTTGATTTAACCATGGTTCTTTTTTGTACTCACATCATGCCTAGGACATAATCGTTATTCTTTTTCTTTTTTTTTTTTTTTTTTTTTTTTTTTTTTTTTTTTTTTTTTTGTTTGGTTTTGCTCTTTTTTCTTTTTTTTTTTTTTTTTTTTTTTTTTTGGAGACTAAGTCTCGCTCTGTCGCCCAGGCTGGAGTACAGTGGAGCCATCTCAGCTCACTGCAACCTCCACCTCCCAGGTTCAAGTGATTCTCCTGCCTTAGCCTCCCAAGTAGCTGGGATTACAGGTGCCCGCCACCATGCCCAGCTAATTTTTCTATTTTTAGTGGAGACGGGGTTTCGCTATGTTGGCCAGGCTGGTCTTGAACTCCAGGCCTCACGATCTGCCCACCTCAGCCTCCCAAAGTGCTGGGATTACAAGCATGAGCCACTATACCCGGCCCTTACTTTTTTAATTTTAAATTTTATTTGGAAAAAGCTCAAGTTCTGGCAAAAGTTGCAACAATAAGAATAGAACAAAGAACATCAAATAGAGTTTACCCAAGTTCACTGTTAACACTTTATCCCGGATTTTTTCTTTTAGAGACAGGGTCTTGCTCTATTGCCCAGACTGGAGTGAAGTGGTGCTATCCTAGCTCACTGCAAACTCTTAACTCCTGGGCCCAAGCAATCTTCCCACCTCAGCCTCCTGTGAATCTAGGACCATAGGCATAAGCCACCACACCCAGCTAATTTTTTTTTTTTAATTTTTTGTGAAAATGAAGATTTTATGTTGCCCAAGTTGGTCTCAAACTCCTGGGTTTAAGTGATCCTCCTATCTCAGCCTCCCAAAGTATTAGGATGGCAGGTATGAGCCACTGAGTCAGCCTCCTAAATTTTTATCATTTGCTTACTTTCTCCACATATATAGTGTGTATATATTTATATATACATATAGTCACACATAAAATTTTCCAGAACATTTAAGGGGAAATTACATATATCATGGCTCTCCATCTCTTAATATCTAGTGAATATTTACTAATAGGGATATAGTCTTACATAATACCACAGTATAGTTATAAACGTCAATAAACTTAACACTGATACTATACTTCCATGTAATCTATCGACCATATTCCAGTTTTATCAATTCACCCAATAACATCCTTTGTAGCATTTCCCTCTTCCAATACAGGAAGAGGGAGAGGGGAGAGAGGGAGGAAATACCAGGCCAGGGTGAGGTATTGCATTTAGTGTCTCTTTAGCCTCTTTTAATATGAAACATTTCCATATCCCCTCTTTGTGACATTTTTAAAGGAGGTTGTCCTCCAGCCCACCTTTTTAAAAATTAGAATGCACTTTATTTTGGATTTACTTGATGTTTTCTTACAATTAGATTCAGACTATGCATGCTTGAGTAGAATAACATGTAAGCAATGATGTGGCCTTCTTGGGGTTATCACATGTGGAGCACATGATGCCCATCTACTTCTTACTGATTATCAGTTAATTTTGATCATTCAACCAACTGGATTATTCGGTCCAGTACTCTCCAAAGCCATTACTAATTTTTTAATTACAAGTAATAAGTAATTGTGGGGAGACAATTTAAAACCACACACGTCTGGGCGCAGTGGCTCACACCTGTAATCCTAGCACTTTGGGAGACTGAGATGGGTTGATCACGTGAGGTCAGCAGTTCAAGACCAGCCTGGCCAACATGGTGAAACTCTGTCTCTACTAAAAGTAAAAAAATAGCCAGGTGTGGTGCTGCGCACCTGTAATCCCAGCTACTTGAAAGGCTGAGGCATGAGAATTGTTTAAACCCGGGAGGCAGAGGTTACAGTGAGCTGAGATCACAGTACTGCACTCCAGCCTGGGTGACAGAGCAAGATTCTCTCTCAAAAAACAACCACCACCACCAAAAAAACAAACCAAAACCATACACACATCATGCTCCCAAACAAAACTTCCCCTTGGGTTTAACATCCATTAATGATTCTTGCCTGATCCAATCTTACTATAATGTGTGCAAAATGTTTTGTTTTGTTTTTTCCCTAACTCCAGCATCCCCTCTATAATTGGCACTTGGGATTTTACTGTAAGCAAGACCCTTCACTTCTCTCTTTATCTATCTGTCTATCTATCCATCCATCCATCCATCCATCCATCCATCCATCCATCCATCCATGCATCCATCAATCACTGGTATGAACTCATAAATTTTCTTCCTAAATGGTTAAATAATTCATTACTGTAATTATTTAGTGCATATATTATCCCAGATTTGACAAGCAGGAGGCACAGGGCATACCTTAATATAAATTATTTTTCTCAGAGAAAGCAATGACTCCTTCTAAACTTGCACTAGTCACAAAGTAGAAACTCAAAAATATATTTTTGAATAAATGGTTAAATGAATGAACAAGTCATATTGAAGGAAGACTTTTCTCTTTTCCTTCTTCTCTTCTCTTTCCTCCTCCTCCTCCTCTCACTCTCTTCTCCTTCCTTTCCTCCCTCTTTCCTTTCCTTTTTCCGCTCCTTTCTCCTCTCCTTTCCTTTCTTCTTTCCTCCTTCTCTCCCCTCTCTCTCTTCTTCTCTTTCAAGTTTTGCTTTCACCCAGGCTGTAATGTAATGGTGTCATCATAGCTCACTGCAGGCTTCAACTTGTGGGCTCAAGTGATCCTCTCATCTCAGCCTCCCAAATATTTGGAACTACAGGCACACATCATCACACCTGGATAACTTTTTCTTTTTTCTAGATGGGGTCTTACACTCCTGGCCTCAACAAATCCACCTGCCTTGGCCTCCCAAAGTGCTGGGATTACAGGTGTGAGCCACCATGTCTGACTGATTTATTTCCCTATACTTATTTTAGTTCCACTTGAGGAAATCTTCCTAAGTTTATGAGATTCTGTAAGTAGAATCAAAACTGAGATACCAGATTAATCAAATCGACAAAAGGTAGCTATTTGTTTTCATCAAAGAAGAAAAGAAATAGTTTTAAATGGTTCTGTATTTGGAATTATGTTAATTTTAATTAAAATATTCTAATCTGGTTTAGCTATTTTGGTAAGTAATAAACACAAACAATGAA